CTGTTATAAGTACCGTCCTAATCGATATTGACGCTGAAACACTAAAAGTGAAACCAGGCACATATTTTCTGTATGCAAACTTAAGTCTAGATTAAATACAGATGAATTGTATTCGTTAAAATGTATTGAGTCTTGATGAACAAATGTTGTTTTTATTGACTTTCATAGCACTGGAATTGAAATAAGAAGCTGAACTGTCTTGATATGGAATGGATAGACACCAATAGTAGAAGCATACATGAAGCGAATACAAAACATGTGAACCTAACGTCAATACGAATAGTAAAAAGCGTCAACAAACAGTGGTGGACGTCAACGCGAAAATACAAATAGACTCAAGAAGCAAAAATGGACGTCATTGCACAAAGGTAAATATTGTCAAAAAGCAAAAATGAAACTCAATGCGGAAATGAAAATAGTGTCAAGAAGCAAAGATCGACATCAACGCGAAACTGGTAATAATGTTAGGAGACTATAAACGTCCACGCGTACCTGAACATCATGTCAAGAAAAAATAAGTCACTTGTTTTGTTTTAAAACTTTAAGAATTTCAAGATTTAATGAGAGGAAAAACAGTTTTAGAAAAATGCGTACAAAATGTTCAAGAGTAATAGACCATACTCTCTAATCGAAGCATTGATATGTATTATGAATTAACTTGATGAAATATGCAGCGAAATTTGCATGTAAAGCAAAAACATTGCTACACAACAGACTGGTATTTAAGATCAGACGCCTTTCGCATCGGGTTCGTGCACGTATTATAAATTGACATGCGAGCGAACCATGGGCAAACCGTCAACCTCGCTTCCACTCAGAGATGACGTCTAAATGTACTATAAGTAAGCGATCAATCATATGTAAGGATTTATCTGGGTCTTCGAGATAAGATCCACCAAGGCGCATGTAACGAACAGAAATGATTTGAGTACATGTATTAGTACATTGCGCTTACAGAAAAGAATGATTGTTTTCTTCAGTTATCAATAAAACAGTCGAACAAATCACAAGTGCATTGGTTTTACGCCACAATCACTACAGCGTCAGGCGGAGTCTTAGGTTGTGTTCGGTATGATAAATAATGGTAGCACCAAGGGAATTATCTAGGCCGTGTTCAGTTTGAAATCATGGCAGCGTCAGTCAAATGTTTTAGCGTGTTCGAAATAAAATACTGACAACGTCAGATAAATATTTAGAGCGCGTTCGGTATGAAATAATGGCGACTTGGGGTAAATGTTTTAGGACGTGGTCGTCCTGAGTTGATGGCCGTGTCAGGTGAATGTTTTATGACGCGTTCGGTATGAATTGCGGCAGAGTCAAGAGAAATACTGTTATAAAAAGATAAACTAATTTAACTTGAAGGGAAGCTTATTATAGTTATATGTGCTATAATGAACAATTTAGTTTGTTTTTAACATTATTTTAATGCATCACATAAAACGCATGATTTAATAACTAGTTTCATAAGAAAAATAAAGAGCTTGGTAAATTATTAAGAGATCCCAAAATACATTAGTATTTATGGAAACCTTTTGAACACCAATCAAGAATATAATAAAAAAAAGTTCCCAATTCGAATTATTCGTCAGCTTTTCAGTAACATGTGGTCACATTCATGACATAGTTTGATTGAAATATACATGTTGGAACAGTGACCTGTTTCACTTGGCAATCATAGGCTATATGAATCCCAACTGATCCATCTGTCGTAAAGCGCTTTAGAGTAATTAGTTTAGTTTTTTTTGCTGTGATTACATTTATAGTTAGCATAGTAATGCAGCTCAATACACATTTTAAAGAACTATTACGAAAAAAAAGTCATTATTACCATGACGTCATTTCAATGTTAACGCATAACCTTAACGTTAGGGAGAGAGACTGGTTGTAATTGTAATTTTTATTGAGAAAATTTGTCAGTAAAGACTTTTTGAGCAAAGGGCGGTGTCCTATTCTAAGGATAAGTATTGCTTATAAGCTTACTGAAGCTCAACCTAACGCTTTTAACGTCACTTCCGGTTGTTTCTTAACAACAAAGTCGGAGTAAATGTTATAAAGTAGTAAGATTGGTGACGTCACATTAATGGTCACATGACCAGACTGTGTTTTATTCTCACAGCACGTTCTGTATCCTCTAGCATTGCAACGAGAAGAAAAAGAAACAGATATACATAGAACAGTTAAGCAACAGTTGATTGCCAAACTAAATAAAAACAATATAGATCTATATTTATGCATCTTATTGCAATTTATTTATGGGTTTATTAATCTGAAAGGCCTGTAAATGAATAAAATGTAATCAAGCGTTGTTTGATTTGTCTGTTTTATGGGTTTGTTTAAAGGGACTGCAAACGTCAAATGCAATATGAATATCATTACTTTTCTATTTCAATAAATAAAACGGTCACCTTCAAGCGCATTTCAAACGCATCCAAAGTCATCATATTGACGTCAACTATATCTTTTGTTTGCGTACGGAAGGAAATTCATCAGGTAGGTATAAATAATATATGCTTAGTTTGTTTTGGACACAAACATTCATTGAAATCATATTTTTCAAGTTTTTGAAAATATCTGTTTCCTTTACCAAGATAGACAGAAAGACCGGCCTGTACACATTCCCAATTTTTCATTTGAAAAAATGTAAAATGACCGCTTTTTGCATATATTGTCTGTATGAGCACTTTGAGATAAATATTCATCAACAATTACACCAAATACTTTTTTTGTGTTGGAAGTTTTCAATCACAGTGCCACTAATCTTTTTTTTGTGTTACTGCTTTTAAAATAACACTTACATAGCAAATCTAGCTGTCATCAATCTGACTGAGATAAAAAAAAAAACTTTCGCTCGAAGTTTGTAGTCATGGACATACCGAGAAATAGCTGGAGAGGGTTCTTATTGAATTACTCTGGACATACGGTAAATTTCTAACATTTTGCGAACCTTTCATTATGTAATTTCGCGAACTGACATCTCAGTGTTTATTCATGAGGACATTAATCACATTTCACTCAATTATATATAGCTATCTCATATTAGAAGACTTATCTTACCCTCTCTCTTGTCGATTGAATATCACGAAAAATTATTAAATACGCAATTACATGGAATTGAGAATACACGATTTTTTAACCCCTTTTTTAGGTTCAAACCTACTTGTAAATCGCAAAATAGTTGGTTAACGTATTCCCCGGATGAAATACCCACAGCTACTTCATATCTTGTAATCAAGTATATTTTTATCGTTTAGTGTAACGCGAGATAAAATAATTACAGATACTTTATGATTTTAACAATGCTTTTCGTGTGAAGTGCAACGAGAGATAAGCTATTTTTCGGCTACCTTAAGATGCCCCCGCCGCCATGTATAATTTGTTTCAGTGTTTGATAATGTTCTATAAATAGTCTAAAACGACTTTGAACTTGACACCCCGAAATATGTACGCATTCATGGTATCGTCATACTTCAAGTTGATCAATGGAGAAAAATAGAAAAACAATCTATGAAAAGCAACACGCAATGACCTTTGTAACATATACTCATCTGATGTACAGTATTCTCATTACTGCGTTTATAGTAACTTCGATCAAAATTTGTTAAGAAATGAAACTGCTAGAGTAATGACACAGAATCATTTGATGACTTTCTATGCATAGCAAAAGTGACCCTGGCCACGACCTTCGAACACTGAAATTCAAAGATATCCGAGGTATTATCATACCTGACCTTTTGATAAATTTTGATCAAAAGGGTACAAAAGTTGATAGACTGATTACAATGCACTACATTTGTAATTGATGATTATCTAAACATAGCAGTGGTGACCTTGGAATCCTAAAACATACGCTACGAGATAGGACAAGCATGGACAGTAACGCTACGAGATAGGACAAGCATGGACAGCAACGCTACGAGATAGTACACGCATGGGCAGCAACGCTACGAGATAGGACAGGCATGGGCAGCAACGCTTCGAGATAGTACAGGCATGGGCAGCAACGCTACGAGATAGGACAAGCATTGTCAGCAACACTACGAGATAGGACAAACATGGGCAGCAACGCTACGAGATAGGACAAGTATGGGCAGCAACGCTACGAGATAGGACAAGCATGGGCAGCAACGCTACGAGATAGGACAAGCATGGGCAGAACGCTACGACATAGGACAAGCATGGGCAGCAACGCTACGAGATAGGACAAGCAAGGGCAGCAACGCTACGAGATAGGACAAACATGGGCAGCAACGCTACGAGATAGGACAAACATGGGCAGCAACGCTACGAGATAGGACAAGCATGGACAGCAACGCTACGAGATAGGCACGCATGGGTAGCAACGCTACGAGATAGGACAACATGGGCAGCAACGCCACGAGATAGGACAAGCATTGGCAGCAACGCTACGACATAGGACAAATATGGGCAGCAACGCTACGAGATAGGACAAGCATGGGCAGCAAAGCTACGAGATAGGACACTCATGGGCAGCAACGCTACGACATAGGACACCCATGGGCAGCAACGCTACGAGATAGGACACGCATGGGCAGCAACGCTACGAGATAGGACACGCATGGGCAGCATTGCTACGAGATAGGACAAGCATGGACAGGAACGCCACGAGATAGGACAAACATGGGCAGCAACGCTACGAGATAGAACGAGCATGGGCAGCAACGCCACGAAATAGGACAAGCATGGGCAGCAACGCTACGAGATAGGACAAGCATGGACAGCAACGCTACGAGATAGGACGAGCGTGCAAGCAGCAACGCTACGAGACAGGACAAGAATGGGCGGCAACGCCACGAGATAGGACAAGCATAGGCAGCAACGCTACGAGATAGGACAAGCGTGGGCAGCAACGCTACGAGATAAGACAAGCGTGGGCAGCATTAAAAGCATTTCCTGCCTTTATGGAGTAAGCATAAACTGACTTAACATGAAATCAAGACAAAATAGGAGTGGATTTGCAATCTGCTAGAGTAAAATCTTACCTTTGCTGTTGTAGAGGATGTCGGGTCGTCCAAGATGTCCCACACCTTTTTCCTGAATCTCTCCCATTTGGTGTTACTAAGATGAATGCCTTTGTCTATAAAGGCGTTCTTTGTTTCCACCTCCTCCATCGACTTGAGCAACGCCTGGTCCGAGAAAAACGATATAAACCTCATGTTACAACATCGTGATAATCTTTTCGGGTCGATCTTCCAGAACTGAAGTTCCCTGCTAAAGACTGCCGGACAAACGGAAGTAGGCATGTGCAGTTCTCCGTGGGTAAAATACCATAATATGGCACTAAAACACTGGGCGTGGCCCTCGATGTAGTACTCTTCATGCACATCGCTCTCTATCTTTATTGCCTTTTCCAAGCAAGAAGGCGGAAGTCGGCGGAAGGTTCCCCGTTTGAGGTGGTACACAGTTCCACTTATATTAATAACGACGGGGTCACCGTTCATGTTGAGGAATGTGTTTGGTTGATGCATTTGTCTGCTATCGAGGCTACACGTTGACATCTAAACCCGTAGTGTAAGGCGACTTCAGTCTCTATTTTTAAATATAGATCGTTGCTTTAGCTAGAAGCATTGACAGGTCTAGATTATCCCGCATCGCTGGTTTATATGTAGATCACCGGTAGGTGGCGTTCATATCTAGAGCGATAAATAACCCAGTAACACATTCCTGATCATATCTGGTAGTATCATAAAGACAGTGCTAATTTGCACACAATCGAAACGGCTAGTTATTGGTGTCAAGGAAACCATTCAATAGATGGCCTTTATTGACTTTTGCTGAAGGTGATCTCTTAGCGCGTGAAACAAAGACTATCCCGTCAGCGTTAATCAAACAGAACTGATGGGGAAGTCATTCCATAATGACGAGGGATCCGGGAGACGGAACACTGGAGGACGTCTCCTCAATATCACGACATTCACGTCGCGGTTTTAATGCTGCTGTCATTAATTTACGTTTCATTAATTGAAATACAGATACACATCAACCACACAATGTCGAGCAGTGCGCGTGCATGTCAATAAACTTATCACGAGGTAGGATTGCCAATAAATTGTTTATATAGTTCCCCGTCAATCAGCAAGTCAGGTTCAATAGGCCACGTGCTCTTATAAATCCATCGAGTAAAGGATATTGGTTGTTTTATGTCAAAACTGTCTAGATTTGGTCATAAACACCAGATGTTGATTTCACCTGTAACTACACCAGGTTAATCGTATAAGGTACGAGGCACACTTATACAATTTATACGTCACAAAGTACTCTTATATTTAATTGTACGGCTGTCCACAATTTAAAGAAATATTTAGTCAATTACCAACATGAAACGGATTCAGAGTTATTATCCACTATACGTTAAGCATCTACCTAAATAAAGTCCCTATTTTTATCCACTAGTTAGGCAAATATCCACCTACAAAAGAGTCACTATCATTAATCAAAAGATAGGCAAACATCAGCATGAAACAAAGTCACTATTCTGTTCCACTAGCTAGACAAACGTCAACACGAAACGGCCACATTCCTGAGTATGTTTGAAGATGTCACAATTGTGAGGATCAGTAGTAAACGACAGAATGAAACGTTGTTAAAGTTCGGTTATTTGATATACAGTCTGGTCGCCGTTGTGCCGGGAAGCCAGCTTCATTAATCTTGTTTATGAATGTTTCGTCATATTTTAAATGAAACACTTCACTCTAACCATGATTGAAAATGAAAAATAATAACGATATCTGTTTCAAACTTATATTAGGATTGACAACGTCGTAATAATATTTCACAACCAAAAATGAGTACTACCTCTTTGTTCCATCATTTACAAAGAATGTTTATCTTTATAACCCCTCCTGACATTGTTCAGTTCGAAAGCAAATAAAGGAAACATGTCATTTCCATTAAGATTCAAAAATTTGTCCCAGAGTACATCTATAGAGGAATATAGCTTTTGATAATGTTTGTGTCAGCTATCTTGTAAAGGCACGCCACACTGTCAAGTTTAATCATATATGCTGTGCGTGATAGCTGCCTCTGTGATAAACAACCTCATATGGTTGCACTTGTTCATACATATTTCTGTATAAAATCAAATGTATAAAGATGTCCATAAGTAAAACACGTCGCTGTTGTACATCCATATATGGTCACACGGTATTCAACTTAACTCCAACGCACATGCGTAACATCCTTTGTTTCATGTTAGTGATGCGGCTGTGATCTCCATTAAACCAACTGTACTGACCTCCGTATAGAACGTTGATGTAGCACTAAACAAAGACTGTGATGTAGATGCTTCCACCATCCATCACCATGGCGGCGCGTGCCAGCGGTGTTATGGCAGCGAACCCTGTTATTAGACTGTTTTTGTCGAGAGTTCTGTAAGTGGTCACGTGACAAATCACTAGGTTGGATGAATTCTGAAATAAAATACGATAAATAAGATAAACGACCCTATATAAATATGGTGATATATACACTGGTATTGGACGTTTTATAAACTGTATACATTATGACCATACATGTATATACACTTTTTAAAAATATACAAATCATGAACAGTATAACTATGTATATTGTATATATAAAGTAAAACAATGTATAACTTTTAAACAGTTGACGATATGTTCACTGTATACGTTAGACGTTATATACATTGCGAGGAGTATGGCGATATTGTATACAGAATACATTGTATACACTATGACGATATATAAACATTGTATACAGAATTACGATATATATACATTGTATACAGAATTACGATATATATACATTGTATACAGAATTACGATATATATACATTGTATACAGAATTACGATATATATACATTGTAAACACTATGACGATATATATACATTGTATACAGAATTACGATATATAAACATTGTATACAGAATTACGATATATATACATTGTATACAGAATTACGATATATATACATTGTATACAGAATTACGATATATATACATTGTAAACACTATGACGATATATATACATTGTATACAGAATTACGATATATATACATTGTATACAGAATTACGATATATATACATTGTATACAGAATTACGATATATATACATTGTATACAGAAATACGATATATATACATTGTATACAGAATAACGATATATATACATTGTATACAGTATTACGATATATATACATTGTATACAGAATTACGATATATATACAATTTTAACACTATGATGAAATAACACATTGTACAAAGTCTGAATACAGTATTTGGATAGATACCATATGATGATATACACATTGTATTCAGTAAGACTATGTATACACTAATCCGTTAGTTTTAATCATTGAAAAAAAATGAATATGAATAGCTACAAAGTATTTTTGTATATAATCGGTACCAAGGTTAGAATTGTAACGTTACAATCAAAACAATCGGATGACGTCACATTAATTATAAGGCTTAGTCGCTTACAAGCTGACCAGACCATAATGTCTTCGCAATAACCTCTAGAAACGATTGTATATTACTATGGTAAGAATAATGTTGTCGGTGTAATTATACTTAGAAATATTATCCTTGGGGATGCCTATATCTATATAAAATCTTTGATTATTATCAATAGACATCTGTGATGATTAATAAGTTCTTAAATACAAGAAGAATATTTGCGGTGTATTTATACTAAATACAAGAAGAATATTTGCGGTGTATTTATACTAAATACAAGAAGAATATTTCCGGTGTATTGATACTTAAATACAAGAAGAATATTTCCGGTGTATTTATACTTAAATACAAGAAGAATATTTCCTGTGTATTAACGTAACTATATTAGTATTGCTTAAATGGGTTTGCTATCTGACTCTCCAATCGTTGTAGTACCCCAAGAAGCAAGAACAAATTAATATAGTTCATCTAATGGCACAATTCAAGAGCAGATAGAAATATATATGTATCTGTGGCCCAGTTCTAAATCGAGACGAGGGGGCTCAAAGACTCTCGCACCTCTATGACCAAGTGTTAACAAAGCGCAGCTGAATTGAGTCATTTCGGTACATATATAACAACTATTTTACATACGTTTCCAGCGTAGCCGAAATCGATATCGATTTTATGGACAACTCGTACACATTTTACACCTTTGTGTGCATACGCTTCATTGGTCATTTGTCTGATGAAGGTGACAGTGTATATATCGTAAAAAAGAACATCTCATAAGAAATATATATATAATAGCACCATCAGCATCCGAAAACTCGCGAGCGTTTGAAAGCACAGGGTTCTTTGGTCAAACAAGGAGTGTTCATAACCGGCGTCACGGCGCACATATAGAAGGTTATAGCTCAAAGCAGCCAAGTGAGCCATACTGTGCTGAAACATTTAAGACAGCTGTTCTATTTCTAAGGAGTCATTTCGTTTAAAACGCAACTTTATAATATTTGGTAAACCGCCTTGTCTCGCCGTCCTTCGGGATATTGTCTTAAGGATGTAATATAACTGTTTAAACATATTTTGTTTAGTGGCATGGTAAGCTGTTCCTATTATATTTATATAGACACGTATATAAACAAATTGACATTGTACTGCACATTTACCATGCTGTCTTTAACTTAAAAAAATTGTAAAATAAAATATTGCTCGCACAGTGTTTTAAATTTGAAACAATTTAAAATGGCTAATGAATCAAAAAGACAAAAATTGCGTCAAAAATCTGGCTAAATTTGATTTCAATGGCGTCAATTCAATTTGTATTCATAGTATACATCGTACATGTAGTATTTGCGAAAAATTATAAAACTACATAGTAAATACAGTGCAAATGCATAACTTACAATTGTATCATTTGGCCGACAAAACAAATATACTATTCGATAACACATGAATACATACAGAACATTTCACGATTGCAATGAATCATGTGTTTTTTCATGGTATATATATTGACATTTCTTGGAACTAAAAACAAAAGCAACCAATCCGTCACCTTAGATTTTAACTTCGCCGCTACAAGGACAATAGAAAAATCCATGAAAACGATTGATTTACCACTCGATACATCACCGACACAACCGATATTAATTTTATACTCTAAAATTCGCGTGATAGCTAAAAGCTATTTAAGATATAAAAATATGTTGTCGGTTATCAAGGTGATATATAGCCATACAACACACACACATAGCATGTTAAGTATGGTTAGTTGTCATGGATCCTGATGCAAAGAAAAACCATTCTAAACAAAGGAACAGCAGGCCGAGTTACGTCTTTTTATGCAAAATAATCAAATGCTGGTCCAGGTAGCAAGGATTATGTTACTAAAATCGAACGAGTATAACCGGTTGTCAAGGAATTATACAAAGTGTCATACTAAAACCTAGCAATGGTAATTTAAGTTCAGTCGGTTGTCAAGAGGATACACAAAGAATGACTAAAATCATACGATGATATGCTATGTTGTGTCGGTTGTCAAAGGGAAGTACGGATTCGAACTGGCAGTACGGTAAGCATGATATTGACGGAGCAACATAGCCAGACTATTAATAGGTAAAGAAGAAACCTGTTAA